TTTTCAGATCTGACAAAAGATATTTTGTGGCCAAAACCTTGTCTAGAATCTCTCTCAACTGTGTAGTTGGTCCAATAAAAGATATCATCATAAAAAAGGGAAAAATCATTGCCCTTCACTTTTCAATATATTTTTGTCAGTTTAACATTATAATAATGTTGAACTAGAACAATTCACTTGCTTATCAACCATGATTTTAATTCTGTTTTAAAGTGTTTTGTCTGTGAATATGTTAAATCACTGGTGCATAAAGGTGGGAAAACTTTGGGTGCAGGTGATACAGACTAAGTAAGATTTTTTTTTTAGTCATTTTATTGCATCATCATCATTCCCTGCAGTTTATAGTTTGTTAATTAAAAATACTATAAATGGACATACAAGGAAAGTTCTGTGACTTGGGTAATAAAATGAATTTTATTTTATACTCCCAATTCTCCCTGTTTTTCTTCAACAGATCTGGAGAAGTCCTCAGTATTAGCATAATTAGTTAGAACTAAATAATGTCCTATATTCCTAGCAATTATTGGAAGCTAATAAAATTATCCCTTCAATTTCAATGTTGCAATTCTGTTTAATTTACTATTTCTATTGCAACACGTTTTTGTGACAGGAGAAAAAGAAGGAATTAAGGCTTCAATTATATACTGAATTATTCATGTCTAAATCATGTCCAAAGAAATGTGGTCTTAGTGGAAGCATATTTTTCTAACTCAAGACCTCTATACGGAGCTATGTATTCCTTGTTTCTCCATACATATTCATGTCTCTGCCAAATATAAATCCTACAATCTAGAGAAGATAAAGGTATACTAGCTCAACTATTGCAGTTCTGTGTTAGTGAAGGTTTTTTAATGCTTACTGGTCATGCCTTCGCTCACTAAAACCATTTTAATCTGCAGGTAGTCCCACTGACTTAATAGTGAACAGAATTTGATGCTAAATACTTAATTCATTGCCTACGTAGGAGTACTTACTTCTAGATATTTGTATTGCTAGGTCTTGTTCAGGCAAATGCAGTCTTGAATGAGCTTCCTAGTCATTAATTTACTAGATATAGCAGTTAACAAGTGATGTAGCCACGTTGGTCCAGAAATTATGTGAGGCAAGGATTTCTTCAGGCAGTATCTTTTATTGGACCAAATATGTAAT